TTTCATGGGTATCGTAGCCCCATATTTCTCTTTCGAATGGTGAAAACCGCACCTCTCTATCTATCACCGTTCCGGAGCTATAAGGTCAACACTGACCGGCCATTCTATTTTGAAATGGATAGTAGTGAGCTGAAAGCCCCGTGCCTGTTCACTACAGGGTTCGAAAAAAAATGTGTGCACGAAAAATGTACTTTATTGAATAATAATGAAAAAAAGGAAACGTGTGGGCATGCCGTAGGAATCTAAATAGCTTATTTTGAACATTTGGGTGCTGCCGAAAATATTACGAATCAGCTGTTACCTCTGGAATATTTTTGACTAAAATTTAACAATTTACAATTTTCAAGCTAGAGATCTCAGGTTACTTTTATTTTAAACTAGACGCCTGACTGCATGGTCTGATGGGACCAGATTTTTAATTTAAGCCTTCGTTGGTTTTCTAAAGATCAGAGATCCTCAGAACCACAAAAAGTCCGTTCGGATTTTCCAGAGATCTTTCATTTTAAAACTAAGGACTAATTCAAAAACCTGGTCCCATCAGACCATGCACTTAGGTGTCTAGTTTAAAATAAAACCAACCAGAAATCTCTAGATTGGGGTATATTTAAAAAAGGTGCCGCGCACTAGGCATGTTCGAACAAAAAAACGTCTTTGGAGAGAAACGCTGTGCATTCGTTGGTCTGTTTTAGAATATGTAGGAAAATGCTGATACGTTTTGAACGCAAGATCACACAGAGTTGTGCAACGTCAAGTGTGCTCTACAAATCTACATGTTTAGAAAAAAAATTAGTTGCTTAAGTGTTCAAAAAAAATTATGATTTGAAGATCCCGGTTTCCAAGTCTTCTAGAAAACTTGTTCGAAAACGAGTTCTTAAGAAGCTTGTTTAAGGGGTTCTTTCGAATGGTGTGCTTAGGAAAGTTTTAGCTGTTTTTGAACGTTGCTTTTTCAATGTTAAAATAAATTGAAATTAAAATTGTAGTGCAAAATATTGTAGAGGTAACAGATGATTCACAACAACTTTGACATCGTTCAATTTTTCCAAAAAACTATTTAGCTTCGTTCGATGTGTCCGAAAGCACCATGGTTTACTAGAAAATCCACTTGTACATGTCTTGGGTTTGACATTTCAGACACTGCAGTTTTGAGGCGTTATGTACCAGAATGTATCGAAGTCGGCTGTGAATTGTCGATTGTTGCTTACGCGAAAATAGGAGTTACTCTGACTCTTCTGAATGCATTGTTCCTAGGAGATATTCTTTTTATTTTGAAGCAATTCAAACTTATGTGTTATTCACTGTCGAATATCGAATTTTGAGCAGTATAGTTTTTCCGAAGGGTATTTACCCATCTCAAAATTATCCTGTAATACAAAAGCAGGTATGACCAAAAAAGGCTTTCTATTGCAGTGCGGGATATATCTCAGTGGAGATTACTTAAGCTCTGAGAACGTCAATTGTACCATGAAACACTTGTGAATAGTGATTTATTACTCTCAAGCGAACTTTAGGCGCCGTCTACTAGTTGTATATTTTCTTTTGTGTGTATTGCAGATAGCACAACAGCTACACGTCTTTGAGAGCAAAGTGCAGATCTTAAGCTTAGAAGTATCATATAATGGGAAAAAACGTCGAAAACGCAGCTTTCTCCGGTTCAAGAGGTGAGTCCACATTATTTTCATTACATCACACAGCACTATATATCGCACTTGTCTCTGGCAGGCTGACATCAAAACAAAAACTCGAACTTCAGACCCTAATTGGCAATGTTACTATCGAACTTCCCGAATCACGCCGATCGCTATTGCCATACAATGAAAATCGTCAGCATACAGAAATTTACCTTTAAATCTTCCTATCTCAGCATCCTTCACGCAGACATCCTTCTTCAACACAACCAAAACTGTTTAACAGATTCGTGCAAAGCCGAATATATAGACAACACAACACACACATTTATTGATTCACAACTAATTCCTGTCGAGTTGCTATGTCCCGACGGAGTCATGCGAACTGCGCAATTGAAAGCGAACAACATCACGGAAATAGGTAGATTACTCTGCTAAATAAAACACAATCACACCTCAATTTAGACTACCTATATATTTTAAGATATCCAAAGCGCTTTGCCATCCCAACAAAACGCTGCCACAACAATTCCCACCAATGTTGCAGTCATACCAGCCTTCAACGCTGATGTAAGCGCAGCAACTAATGTAGTATTGGAACACAACATCGGTTTGTACAGCACATATTCCTGAAGTAATCGCACCACATAAAACGTCTATTTAAAGAACCACAAAATGCTACAGGAACTACCCCGACTTCGAATGAGGAAACCGAAACTGCAGCAGATACAATATCAGAGCCCAACCAATTAATTCAATCTACTAAAAGTATTACACAAGGTTGGTATGAAACTGTATTGATAGTGTTGCGGATAGTCTGTTTTTCTTCTAGTAATCCTTAGGGCTATTTCATTGGCGCATTCATAAACTTTTATTCTGTGCGTTGATTGCGCTGTTTTAGTTGATTTTGGTATATGATGAGCAGAAATATCATTTTCGCTAGCTTACTTATTGTTACTGAAAGCCTTCCGAAACGCTTTCATTCTTTCTTCAGGTGTCATCAGTGAATTCGCAAAATTACTATTTCTATATTTTGTGATTTTTTCAATCACAGTTGTTCCTACCCGTCGATCATCTGTAGAATTCCGGTCTATCAGTTTCATAAACGATGACTCCTACATTTTTTATTTTTGTTATAAATTCTGTTACTGCACAAGAGCGACAACGTTTTCCCGCTTTTTCAATTAATCAAGCCATGAAATTAATTTATTTACATATTTTCTGTTTTCACAGCATCACAGAATGGTGCAGCAGCAAGTCCAAGCAACGTCGACGTCATCCAAACGTCGAAACCTGATGTAAGCGGAGCAGCTAGTGTAACCGTAAGCGACAACATAGGTGAGTGGCAAGTAGCTCCTTGAGGTAATCGCACTATATAGCACGTTTATTTGAAGAACCCGACAATGGTGCAAGAACTACGCTGATTTCAAATGAGGAAACAGAAACTGCAGCAAATACAATATCAGGGCTGAATGAATTTATTCAATCTACTAAAAGTATTACACAAGGTTTGAATAAACTTTTAATGATGATAGTGCGGACTTGCGGAAAGTTGATATCAATGATCATAGGAAAGTACTGGTCAGATATCTGGCTTACCTGCTTTACGTCTCACAGAAGCTAGCAGATTAACTGAGCGAGGGCCTAGTTAAGTACCTTGCCAGAGGGTAACATAAGCTAATTGTGGAGTAGTCTGCAAACTACTTGATTTACTAGCGCAAGAATTCCAACAACATGTTACAAAATGTGCAAGGGTGATAAGTACACTGACTGGGGGAGAGAGCTAGCATTGTACATTGATGAAATCAATCAACTCTTCACATTGGATTCTCGTTTCAATTTACATGGTAAGAGAGCACGTGTTGGCTGTACTTTGACCGTATATAGTGCTTATATGGCACTATATACGGTCATAGCTAATCCCAACGTTCAGATGTATCTTTAATATTGCTAGAACCGAAAAAACCATCAGCTTGTTTTTCATGTCTAAACTTAATCGCCACACGAATAACGACACAATTAAATGAACAAGATGTTCAGAATCACCAGCTATTGATTGTGTGATGCTTCGTAATAATCGATCACCTAAGATGGATAATAGCATCAATGACAATAAACCCAAGTATTTTCCATCCAACTACCACCAAGTGAAGATTTTAATTTTGGCTCAGGGAATGAACACGGTGTTGGTTTGGAGGATGTTTGAGGCTTCTGTGCAATTGGATCGGAAGGAATGTCATTTGTAGTACCTAACACAAACTGTTGACGCTGTTGTTTCATTTCATGGTTATACCATACCTTACCATCTCCAGGTCACATAATTTCTTCCCCGTCAGATATTGTCACTGGGTTTTCAAATGACGAATTACTTAATGGTATGTCTTCCGTGTTAGCTTGCATTCGTTTCATGTGATTTTCTAATTGAGTTTGAAGATAACAGGCAAAATCACGCATGTGTTGGCCATGGAAATTACTATTGCTGACGTTATAACAGTTGTTATGGGTTGGAAATTGTTAAATATTCTTCTTCGTCGTCATCGTCTTCACTAAAATTATATCGACTATGGATCAATATACTGTTCTGGAAATTGTCCATCAGAACGTGCTTCTGACTGAGTATGCGAATATCGACCATCGGAGTGATCTAATTGTGTTACTAATCTGCTGTCGACTCTGATGGATTATTTATCAGAGATTGAATACGTTTAAACATTCTTATTTATCATTGTTCATTTCATCATCTTCTAAACCTTCAAAATATGGCACTAGAGTCAACATATAACTCAGTTTGATCATAATCTATTTCCACTAGACAACGTTGTGGTTCTTGACTAAATTGTATTACTAATATTGTTGCTTGTAAAAAGTCGATCCCAGAAACGATTGTACATTTTTGATCATAAATCATCACTATTTAACGAATGTGAAATTGCTCACCCCAAACGCCTGTGACGGAGTTAAGATTGTGTTGCTGTGGTGGCTGTCGAAGGCTTGAATGTAGTTTTTGCTTTGTTGCATAATCTTGCCGTTTAGTGTTGTACCGGTTCCAAAGCCACGGGGATTGCCATTCATCATCTGTATAACATACTTGTAGGCTGGGCTGTCGTTTGAATTTTTGTTGACACTAATGTGGTCTCATTTTGATTTGTTTAAATTCGATTATACCTACTGTGATGTTGAATTACCAGTTCCCGCCTATAGGGATGGAATTATTTGGATTCCTTGCACTTACTGTTATGTTGGATCGACCGTAAGCCGGCTACTGCACCAATTATTAGGTTCCCGGATGAACTAAGATCTTTCTCACCTAACGTTTATTTTTAAATAAAAACGATATCTCCTCCCGGTAATACTGAGCCATTTATATATGAAATATTTTGCAATAACCTTGATTAGAGTCTACGCAATGGATGGCCTTGAATATATTCTTTCACCATAGCAATGAATATCCTTGTGCAGTAACCTTGACCAAAGTTTCCCACCATAACATTGAATATATGCTTCAGCAATAAACTTAACTATGATCTTCCGCCTTATGGCACGACTCTAGTGCGTGGCATAACAGCCTCTCAGTTTGCGGAAAATTGAGTATTGTATTTTGTTCTTCACTAGTTTTTACGAAAACTATATTTACCGTTGCTTCACAAAGCCAGACCGTTTTTCACTAATTTTGGCTAATTCAACAACGAAATTAACTTATTTCGATGTTTTTAACCGTTTTGCAGCTTCGCAGAATGGTGCAGGTCCAAGCAGCGTCGACGTGACACAAACGTCGAAACCTGATGTAAACGCAACAACTAGTGCAACAGTAGGCGACAACATGGGTGAGTAGCAAATATTTTCTTGAGGTAACCGCACTGCATAGCACGTTTATTTGAAAAACCCGACAATGGTGCAAGAACTATGTTCTTGTTTTGCGCAAGTCCATTTCATCTGTGGAAGAAATCATTACGGCATGGACTTCACACTAGATAGAATTTCAGTCTTGGAGTTTCACAAACGATGACCACTACACTCTTCATTTTTGTTATAAATTCTGTTACTGCACAAGAGCGACAACGTTTTCCCGCTTTTTCAATTAATCAAGCCATGAAATTAATTTATTTACATATTTTCTGTTTTCGCAGCATCACAGAATGGTGCAGCAGCAAGTCCAAGCCACGTCGACGTCGTCCAAACGTCGAAACCTGATGTAAGCGCAGCAACTAGTGTAACCGTAGGCGACAACATGGGTGAGTGGCAAGTAACTCCTTGAGGTAATCGCACTATATAGCACGTATATTTGAAGAACCAGACCATGCGGCAGGAACTACCCCAACTTCAAATGAGGAATCAGAAACTGCAGCAGATACAATATCAGAGGCCAACCAGTTAATTCAATCTACTAAAAGTATTACACAAGGTTGGTATAAAACTTTATTGATAGTGCTACGAATATTCTGTTTTTCGTCTAGTGCTATTAGAAAAGTAACTGGCTTTGGCTTCCTTGTACTCTCGTTTAGCACTTGCTCTTGTTTTAACGCTATTTCTCTTTATTCTTGCGCAGTCAAAATCTTTTGTTGTGTGCGGTGGTTGCGTTGTTTTAGTTGATTTTGGTATATGACGAGCAGAAATATCATTTTCGCTAGCTTACAATGGAACGGTTTGTACTGTCAAGCCGCTTTCAAGTTCGGAGGATGTGTATTAGATAGACCTCGGCGAGGTATAAAAAACTCCAAAAGGCTATGTGCTGATGGGCCTTCCCTCCAGAGTTATAGTCATTATACTGGAATTTTAGCCTATTGCATAGTATCTACCAAAAACACTCATCACGATATTTCGACCTGAAATTTTGCCAACAAGTAGGCCTACTTGTAGCTAGAATGTTCTGAAAATTTCAGTTCAAAAGAATGTTCCTTTCATAAAATATTGAGCTTCTCCAAAACCTGACATTCTCCAATCTTTTCGTAGAACATGAGTGATTTTGGAAATTCAATATCTCAAGAAGGAAACAGTCTTTTGAACTGAAATTTTCAGAACATTCTAGTTGCAAGTAAGCCTACTTATTGGCAAAATTTCAGGTCGAAATATCGTGATGAGTAGATACCATGCAATAGGCTAAAATTCCAATATAATGACTGTAACTATGGAGGGAAGGCCCATCACCACATAGCCTTTTGGGGTTTTTATACCTCACCGGGGTCTATCTAATACACATCCTCCGAACTTGAAAGCGGCTTGACAGTACAAACCGTTCTATTGTTAGTTATTGTTACTGGAAGCCTTTCGAAACGCTTTCATTCTTTCTACAGGTCTCTTCAGTGAATTCACAAAATTATTATTTCTGTATTTTTTTTCAACTATACTTGTTATATTTTAGCAAGTCCAGTCAACGTCGAAGTCACACAAACGTCGAAACCTGATGTAAGCGGAGCAACTAGTGTAACAGTGGACGATAACATGGGTGAGTAGCAAATGTTTTCTCGAGATGACTGCACTACATAACACGTTTATTTGAAGAACCAGAGACATTTAAATAAATGAACAGCATAAATAGGCAAACCCATTGTATCATTTTGTCTCTTCATACATAAAAAAAGATGCAACACTACGCAAATTGTAGCAAAGGAAAAAGAAGAAAAAAAGAAGCATTCGTGGATAATCACACAGAAGTCTTAGTGGAGTTTGGGAGAAAAAGAGGAACTAAGTGCAGATAAAAAACGCTGGGTATTTTTTAAATAGCTTATAGCAAGAAGATGTAGGTGCCATATTCATCCATGTTTTGAATTTGCTGCCGAAAGCGTACCTTAACACAGTGAAATAGGTATCTGGAGTACAGTATATCAGTCAGTGTGCAGCTATTATAGTGGATATTTCGAGAGAAAATATCGCCATCTCTGCTTCCCCACAGGTATAACCACAGCAGTTCCTACCCGTTGCTCAACTATTAGTATGTTAAGCGATGAAAGGATGTAAAGAGGCAGACAGACATCTTCGCTTCTAGCAACAGTTCTTCTTTCTGCTCAATGCAATTTCATTTCGGGAAGAAACCACTACTCCTGGGAGCTCACACTAGATAGAATTTCAGTCTAACCGACGACTACTACATTTTCATTTTCGTCATAAATTCTATTACTGCACAAAAGCGATAACGACCATGAAATTAATTTATTTGCATATTTTCTGTTTTCACAGCATCAAAGAATGGTGCGGCAGCAAGTCGAAGCAACGTCAAAGTCACACAAGCGTCTGAAATGGATGTAAGCGGAGCAACTAGTGTAACCGTAGGCGGCAACATAGGTGAGTTTTCCATTAATTAAGCTGTCAAATTAACTTATTTCCATGCTTTCTCGGTTCGCAGGGTCGCAGAATGATCCAGCGGCAACTCCAAGCAACGTCGAAGGCACACAAACGTCCGAAACGGGTGTTAACATAGCAACTAGTATAACAGTAGGCGACAACACAGGTGGGTAGCAAATATTTTCTTCCCCGCAAGGTTTGTTCTTTATGTTTTCGAAAAATACAGTTTTACTACTGTCCAAAAGCCATAACGTTTTCCAACTATTTGAATTAATTAAACCGTGAAATTAATGTATTTGCATATTTTCTACGTTCACAGCATCGCACAATGGTGCAACAGCAAGTCCGAGCAACGTCGATGCCACACAAACGTCGAAACCTGATGTAAACGGAGCAACTAGTGTAACCGTAGGCGACAACATGGGTGAGTAGCAAATACTTCTTCAGGTAATCATATTACATAGCAAGTTTATAT